AGGAGGAAGAAGTGGAGCACAGCAGCCAGACCCAAGCCACACCCACCTGGACAAGTTTGAACTTGGTAGATCCAGATCTGGTGCTAAAGTAATAATAACTGTAGCAAAGCTCTACACCAAAGGTCAGAAGACAGTGCTATACAAAGTGACAAAGAGAAAGAGAAAAATGCATTCACAGGCCCCAAGCCCATGCAGAGCAAATGCAGGAGATAATAGCACAGAAAAAGTTGGAAAGCACACAACTGAAGTCTCTGAAATAATAGTGTCTGAAGTAAAGAAACAACTGCAGAAAGGTTTAGGGGAAATCAGATCGGAAATAATCTCTGAAGTAAAAAAGAAATGATAACTATAGTGAAAGAAGTACTAAGTGCTTCTAAAGAAGACACTGATAAAAAAATAGAGGAGAATAGAAAAATGATGGAATCCTTGAATGAGCAATATAGGAAAGAAATGAAATGTGTGAAGCAGATTCAGAGTGATATACAGGAAATGAAAACCTCATTCACAAGCTGGCAAAACCATGTGAATGAAAGAGAAAATAAACTTTCAGACCTTAAAGACATCATTTAAGCCATTGAAAAGGCAAGAAAAAAATCTCTTAAAAACAACTAGGATATAGGAAAAAAAATAATTCAACATCTGCAAGACAATGCAAAGATGAACAATGTAAGACTAATAGACATCAGTGAGAAAGAAAGAGTCAAAATAAATGATATAAAAAGAATACTAGCAGAAGTAATAGCAGAAAACTTCCCAAATATGGGGAAACAATTGACATTCAGTAACTGAAGCATATAGAACTCCAAATAACATCAACCCAATTAAAACCACACCCAGACATATAATAATCAAGATCCCAGAAATTCAGCACAGGAACAGTATTCTAAAAGCTGCTAGAGAAAAGAAACAGATCACGTTTAAAGGAAAAGCCAACAGAATAATGGCAGATTTCTCTTCACAAACCATCAAATCAAGAGCGTAGAATAAAGTACTTCAAGTCTTGCAAGAAAACAAATTCCAGCCCAGACTGCTATACCCTGCAAAACTCTTTTCAAGTTTGATGAAGAAGTGAAGTACTTCCATGACAAAGAACAACTAAAGAATTTCATAACGACAAAGCCAGCCCTATACAGACTTTTAAAAGATATTCTAGAGAGGGATCAAAATGACCACAACTCCATAATTGAGAAAGGAAAGAACACACCAAATAGGGCAAACAATTAAACACAGGAGAAAAAGAGATATACAACAGCAGTCTTTCAATTATTCTTTTGTATACAGCAGCAAAATATTTCCATCAGCACACTCTACAAATGGACTTCTCCTGCACCCTATGGGTCATGATTCTGTCTAGGTCTGCAGGGTGGATATCAAGGAAATAGCAGTGGCTCAGTCCCACAAGTGACACCTGGCCACCAGTGTCCAGCATCATGGGCACTGTCCACGTCCACCACATACTAGAACTTTGTGTGATATCCTGTCCCCAAACTGTTAGAGGTGCTGGTCATATATTTGCTATTAAAGTATTTTTGTTACATTTTATTCTTAGTAATTCTTACTATCATGAAAACTTTTTCTTAGTTGATATTTTTGTATATATTAACCTAATCAAATACTGTGTGAGTACTCTGAATTGATCACAGATTCGTACATATGATACACTATATTCTATATAAATACACTATATAAATACACAATTTAATTTTAATTTTTAAGTGTTATTTTGAAATATTTAATTTAATTTTAAGTAATTAATATTTAATTAATTTTTTGAATACTGTTTAATTTTAATTTTCTATGGTTTATACTGTTTCTTTGA